TCTCGTCGTTGCGGCGTCGATGAGCTCGCATTTTTCGTCGTGTCGCGCCACTAGCCACTCGAAAGACAACGGCAGCGGCGGCGACGGCGACGGCGACGGCGACGGCGACGACGTAATGATGAGTAACGGTACAGATCGAAACTATGATTAAATGAAATTTTTCACCAATCATCTATAAGGGATAATCTCGATGAATTCATCCCCTTTGTACATTTTTATATTATAATTATATCTTGATAAAGTAATTATATCTTGATTTTTCTTTCTTTTTTTTTTGTATCAGTATTGTGATCTCTTCTTTTCTTATAGGTATAATTTCGTATGTAAAACTGGTTTTGCTCCCGCATTCTGAAATCTATGAAATCTATGATCTAAGAAAATAAGAGCCAGAATGTCATTATTTTGAAACTTACGATTTGGCTAATGAATTAGAGAATAAAGATAAGAGAAATCAGTATCATTACACCCTTGTTGTTTGCCCAATGTTAAACAAAGATAAAACGATCACTGTGTGTTATACTACTGCAAGATACCTGGTTGAAAAAACATATATTACATCTGCAGTCTCTTTGTGCGGATTATGGAATCTACAAGACTAAATGACAATTTGACTTATTGTTAGCCACTTGATTTCGTATACATTCTAACAAACGATAAACGAGCTGAGTGATCCAATACATTTAGATTATCGACCTCGCGATATCCAGAATTGCAACTTTAAAAACGCGTGCACTTGGAGAAAAAAGTTGTATCAATAATTCAGGAAATGGAAGTAACTCGTTATTTATAACGAAGTTACAGTTACAAGTTACTTTATTGGTAACTGCGTTACTTTTTTCCTTTGGTAACTGTAACAGTAACGAAGTTACATTTTTTTGGTAATAGTAACAATTTTACAGTTACTTTTATCGTTATTTTGCACACGATTGGATACGATACAATTGAACAGGCTACTTATAGCACTGAAACTAGAAAGCTCTCTGCTGTGATTGGTAGTCATCGATTTTAAAAAAGTAACGGAAAAGTAACGAAAAGTTACTTTCTCAATAATGAGTTACTTTTAAAAATCATTAACTATAAGTTGTTACTTTTTTTACTCGGTAATGAATAACTGTAATTTCTGGACAGCATAGAAACTTGTAGCAACATTGCTGCAACAATGCAAACTTTCAATGTTGCATATTGCAATACAATGTTGCAGAAACATTGCGAAAACTTCTTTTTTCAATATTACTTGAGCAATGTTGCAGCAGTATTTTTAAAATATTTTCAGCAAGAGACACAAATTGATACAAGAGTCATCCTGTCCTTGTTCAAAAGTAAATTCAGTAAGAAATAAAGATAAGAATAACTCTTGTCACTTGTCAATTTGTGCCTCTGCTAAAAAGTTCACTTTGTTAAGACTTGTATATATTAATTTGTGTATAACCTAATAAAATAAGGACTTGGACATAATGGAAGAATAGGAATTAATGATACACGACACACTTAATCAGATTTTATAATATCTATAGTTATGAAACTGACCAATCTCATTCCTCTATAACTATATTCCTCTGAAAAATGGAATGACTGATTAGTTTCTAACTACGAATATTATTAAATCCAATTAATGTCCATTTCTACCAATGTAGATTAATTTTAATCTCAGTTCAACTTATCTTCGTCTTTTTCTAGTTCTAAAGATTAGAAAAAGGTGAAGAGTAAGTACATTACATTGGAAACATTATATTGGATTGGATTATACATTATATTGGAAACAGACATAAGGTGTAAACGTAGTCAATGTCTATTTATAGGAATTGTACCTATAATTTATACTATAAAAGAATTAGAAGTAGAAGTTAAATATAACATATAATGAATATAAATAAAATATGATTTCATAATTAATTATGTCTTTATATTTTATAGGCGTGTTCCGATAGCTTGAAAATTTATAGTTCACGTTATGTATGTAGATTTTTAGTACTGTATATATCGGAACACACCTATAAAATATAAAATATAAAGACATAATTAATTATGAAATCATATTTTATTTGCATTCATTGTATGTTACATTTAACTTCTACTTCTAAATTTTATATTTAAATTTATATAGCACAAAATATTATAATAAATATTGCATTAACATTGTAATATTACAAGCAATGTTGTTGCATTATTACAATGTTTCTGCAATAATACTGCAAGTATTCCTCCACTGTGCGCAAAACCTATATTGCATATATATTATGTTGTAATATTGCTGCAACATTACGTATCAATATTTTTAAAACGGACATTTTTACGGTGCTGCAATGTTGCTGAAATATTGCAGCAATATTTCGCAATATTTTTGCAATATTGCAATCTTGCAATGAAATATTTTTGCAATGTTGCTGCAATATTTCTGTACTATATGGGTTGTTACTTTCAAAATTACTTTTAAAGGGTAACTTTCCATTCCTTGCAATAACTATAAATTTGTAATGAAATAGCCCCTTAACTATATACATATTATTACATTCTAATAAGAACACTAGATTAAGTGAACTAAGAAAATATAGTAATATTATAAGTCATATAATCAATTACAATACAAATGATTAATATACCACTATATTTTCTTAATTCACTCAATTTATTTATTGTTCTTATTAAACCTTTTTAATGCATTTCTTACATTTATTTTTCTTTCCCAAGTTCGAAATCAAAAGATTGCGTCTTTTATTGTAAGTCGAGTTGTTTTCTTCTGAAGAGAAACTCCGCCAAGACCCTTTGGTGACAATGCCGCGTACTGTTCGTGCTGAGCTTTAGAGAAAAGGTTTTTAACATATTCCTTAAAATTATCTCAATAATTACATTATTACATATAATATAGAATGCTTTATTAGAAAAAAGATTTTGTCTAAACTAGAAAAATGTAATTGTTTAATTTATCTATTTATTGGCATCAAGTTCAAATATAAACTACTCAATGTAGTTGAATCACTATTTCACTGCCAATTAATAGTGCATACTTTGCTCAAAACTGATAATTACACTTAAAAATTCATATTAATCAAACCGAACGCGTACATTTTTTTCTTAAGAAAAGATGTTGACTAATAAAAGGATGCGATTAAATTTTTACTTTAATTTCAGAAAAATAAATAATATGTGCAATTGGTTATAAAGTTATACAGATAGATATTGTATTATGATATGAAAAAAAGCTAGTCCCATGATGTCGTCTATAGCTTATAGCGCCAGGTTCAAGTGTGCACTTGTAGGATTCACTTTTTTGGATTATTCGAAGAAAGAAAAAATAAGAATACGATATACGCGGGGACGTGATGCAACAACGTGCACGCTACGCGTGCAACAAGCGTGTCGATATTTATCATAAGCATGCATATAGATACACTATAACGCACTATCCGCGCGCCTAGCTGGCGCCTGTCATGAGCTTTATCGTCTTTCTAGTTTCTCACTATCGTGCGAACGACGACGAAAACGAAATTTTTAAATTAGCTCGCATCCCGCGTTGTCTCTTATACATATACTATACATATATGTATAATGTATATTTCTACGGACTCGTGCACGAATACGAGAGACCAAATCACGTAAAGAAATTAAATACTCTCCTAAAGATTGTCGTATTTCATAAATATTTAAATTATTCATTCCATGTTCATATCGATGTGCAAATTTAGAACATCAAATTTATCGTAATTTAATAATTCCTTTCTGAAAATATATAAATTCAATAAACATTGTAATACTGCATTCGGATAACATAAAATCTTGTATATATTTTGAAAACCACGTATAATTCAAGCACATATACTTCTTAATAGATTAAACTTACGCAACTTACTGTTGTATGCGCGTGCGTATTGACAATTAAATTTAAGCGATTCATCAGCAGTTGGTAAAAAGTTGAAAACAATTAAAGAGGGAGAAAATTAAAAGGAGCTCGCGCTCCTCGATGTTACATTGTGATAGTTTTATATATAGCAGGCGCCTTTCTCAAGTCTGGATGTTAATCTATCGATTGATGAATCATTTACGTAGCGCTCGATTCGAGTAAGTAAACGATTTCATTGCTCGCCGCTCGCCACTCGTGTCAAGCATTCCATTTCCACGAACGACCGATCCCCTTTCAAGATAGTTTACATTGTCGCGTAATAGTCTTTATTTGTTTGCAACTAACTTGTTTCGACATATCCCCTTTGGCGCCGAGTATTTTTAGGCGACCTGCCACCCCCTCGCAACATATATTTATAATAATACACCGCGCTTACGAACTTGTAGGATTTCACTTTTTCCGTGAGCAAACCTCGCTTTTCCTTCGGTCAAAATGATGAAAATCTTGGACGACTTTGATGAGCCAACAAAAAAAAATTTATCTTGCGCCTGTAGATCCTTATGGATATACTTATTACGCTTTATGGAATATTTCGCGCGTTATTGAATATTACGAAAAGTATTCTTGGTTTCAGCTTCTGTTATGTCGAGAGTATCTCAGATGAATAATTGCACGAGTTGAGGCGATTGAGCCACTGTTCTTTCTTACTAAATTCACGAGAATTAGTAAAACAAGCGTGCCGATTCGAGCACGTGCATGTACGCGCCGTATTTCCTGCGATCATCCGCACGCAACTACCTATATCGCGCTTTTATCAACAACAGTAGCAACCGCAACGTAATAGATATTAAAAACGCACTATATTATTACTATCGTAATAAACCGTATCGTATTATTAAGATAACGAAGGGAGACCGATGCATAAAATATCTCTCGCGAAAGAACAAAAGAAAGAACAAATAGTCGATCGTTACATAGCGTTACATATGAAATGAAATGAAAGAGCGGTACGCAATTTATTTAGAATGGTATATGAATGGAAAAAAGTTGCACGCGTAGATGAAAAGCTGTATGTACAACTAGCACATATGTAATACTTGTGCGTAGATTTTCAAATACACTTGGATCGAGATAGATGCCCAGCCAGCCCAGCGGGTCTTACCTTTATCGGTAGATTGCGCATCTTTGTCAGCGAACATCTCGTAATCCTCTGTGTCTGAATTTGTAGGTGCACCGCTGGTGACAGCGACGACGAGACCTGTCGTCATCATCGCGATAGTCAGTACGTCGCGTGGTAACATCCCGAACGCGATCATCATCGGTTCGCTACTATTAAATCGATTTAATATCTCGGCAAATTATCCGAGTCCACGTTCAATTAATCAGCCACGTGGAGCGAGTCTCTCAAGCGCGAATCGATGCTGACCCGGCACAGCGTATTCGTCGTTAGGACGATGAATTTCCAAAATTTGGGCATGTGTTTCCCTCGAATGTATCGTTGTTGAATTGTTACGATTGATGGATCGACATCACGCGAGCACGTTCAGCATGCAAGTGCACGAGAGTGGAGCAGCACTCGGACGATATCCAGTAGCTGACTGACTCACTCACTTCTACCGACTACTCACAGACCCTACGGCATGGCCACAATAGCGTTCCGCTCCGACCAGCTCCGACCAGCTCCGATCGCGTCGCGTCGGCGCGGTGATTGGCCACCTCGGAGCCAGATCAGCCAGAGAGCCCGAGTTACGCCGAGCGACCAAGAATGCTCGCTTCGAATGTCAGTTTTTAAAGAAAACTCACTACTCCGTTACCGCCTTCAGGTTGCACAGTTTGACTTATTCGAACTCTTTATCTACACCCAGAGATGTAGCCGCATTCATTCAGCTAATTATTTCTCTACTCTTCTTCTTCAAGAACCTACATACACTTTTCTAGATGATTGTTTGTACTTTGTTAAAAAATTCTGCACAGAGAGGAAATTTGTTACACATTGTACATATATATTTTATGTACCGAGATTAGGTTGGCATCGGAATTCAATTGTTTTTCAAAGTCGAATAGCACATGCGTGGCACACTATACTTACATTAACTTGCATTAATAATTATCAGTATCAAGCAGTACGCAGGAAGTCGCAGAAACATGGCATCCGATCGGCATTCGGCCGACGCGACGCCGCGGCGCTGTGCGTGTGTAAGTAGCGCACGAATGAGCGCGAAATAGTGTGGGTGCGATTTGTCAGCGGAAAGTCGGTGAGAACAGCTGCGGCGCGGAAGGGGACGATGGCGCCTAAGCCCTGCTGACGCCAAAGTGGTGCGATCGACGCGACGCGACACAATGTATGTATCTTTGCCTGCTTTTTCGTTATCGTTAGATTGTTAGACGCAACTTTTTTCACTGCTACGATACATACATTGCTCCGTGTTATTCAATTATTCATTTTTCATATACAATACAATTTATGTTACAATATATCGATATATACACACACACACATACACACCCACCTTACAATATTAATACAATTTTACATTAATACTTCTATTCTAATTAGATTTACATTTTTATATATGCACCTCTATATATTTTCAATTATATACAGTAATCATTGATTGAGTCGAAATACGCACGAAATATGTACATACGATTCTTGTACTTTTCTTTCTTGATAATTTCTTTTATACGTTCGTATAACTTATAAATAGATGATTCGCTGTACTCGTTGCGAGACGTCACGACTCTTTCTTCGTCAATATTCGTTTATTTGTGTTAGATGAAACTTCTTTCTCACGATGACCAAGCGTTTTTAGTGTAGGACTTTTGGCGCGCACATACGTACGTTATTCCTCTTTGATCAAGCATCGATAAGATGCGTACGTGTGTGTTCGGTAACCTGGAGGATGACTAATTATGTACGTTGAAACAGCCGGAATGGAGGAGGGCCGGGGCACCTGGCACTCCTGGCAGTCCTGGTATGGTTGATCGGCTCCCACCGGGGAATTTGAGCTACATGGTCCACTGTTAGCTATCCATACGAATAGATACCTATAAAACAAAAGATGCCAGCGCGGTAGTTGATTTATTCTTCAGGCAGCTCCGTCAAATACACACACACACACGTCAGATCTCGCATCTTCAAGTCGTTCGTCACGAGTGACATCGCTTTTTTAGATTTCTCTTTCTCTCTTCCTCACGGTATCTAGTTATTCGTAAATAAAAATTAAACAAAATTGTTTAACAAAACTCGCATCGTTTGGCATTGACAAGTGCCATGCGTTTTCGCGTAAATGTAACAAAATGAAATGTTAAAAACAGGGAGTAGAAGTACTTTTTGGGTAATTATTAGTAACTGCGTTAGTTACATTTTTTTTGGTAGCGATAACGAATTTTACAATTACTTTATCGTTACTTGGCAATTGGACATACATGGTTCGACATTCTAAAAAAGTAACGAAAAAGTTACTGTTTCGAGTAACTATAACGTGTTATTTTTAAAGTAAATAACTTTCCATTTCCCTGGTTAAAAGATTAAGAAATCTAAAAAGATTTTGGAAATTCAATTCTTACAACTTTGCACGTAGATATAATAATAGGTAGAATATATCATATTTTAAATATCGTTACGTATATATTATATATCTATTATATACATTTATATTTTAGACTATTCTTTTTACACACACACGTACAGGATGTAACTGAAATAACGCCACTAATCATACAGTGCTATTCCTAATAAAAAATCAAGTCGAAAAGTCCTCTAGCATTTTGCAATAGTTAACGAGATATTAATTTCTAAAGATTGCCGAATAAACGGATAAAATCGATGTTTAAGACAATTTTAAGATATCTTTCCGCGTTCTTTGTGAAATATTTTGAAGACTTTTCTTAAAAAACTCTTAAAGATATCTTAAAACTATCTTATACGCGCGATTTTGCTCATTGGGTAACTAAAAAAAACAACTAAAAAAAAAATATGACGAAAATTTCAAAATGGTAGAAGATTTTTTGTCTCAGTTTTTTATGAGGAATAACCCTATACAATTAGTGGGTTATTTCAGTTACATCTGTGTATATTTGAGGCCTTATTCTCAACATAATTAAATGAAAAATATCTAATATAAATTGAATGTAAACTTCTGACGAGATATGTATGGAATTCTATAACTTGGAAATTTATATGTATGGAATGCTCCAGACCGACTCTACTGAAGCCAGCCCTGATTATATGTATAGTATACAATAATTAATTTATTAAAGCAAATTTGACAGCCGCGTCTATAATTTTGACGACTGAATCCAAGCTTCAGCGATGTAACAGTTTATCGTTTCGACTGTCAAGGGTTAATAGTGTCTGTTGAGATAATATTATTAGATAGCGCGCGATACTCGATCGCTCGTGATCCGACAACCGTGTCGGCGCTACTGCTGGAACTTGAAAGCTATATCCAGCCAACGCGAACGTAACAAAAAATCGCTTTAATACATGACTCGACCAGCCTGTCGGCAGCAGTTATCTCCCGCACGGTCGGTTTTTATTTATATTTTCCGTTCGTTAGTCGATCAGCGGCATACGATCGAAACGAGAATGTATGTATATCCTCGAGCGCGCGCGTAAACAAGTTTAAGAGATCTATTCTGTAATAAAAGATATTATAATTACATCCCGCGCAATGCATATATCTATTCCTATTCTATTCACAATTCCAAGTTTATATCTATTTATATCTATTATAGATATCTTGTTTAATGAGATGTAATATAGTTTTATATATATATACTTTATCTGTATCTTATTCCGCTTCAGAAAAAAAATCACAATTCCATCGAATCACAATGTATCTATAATTGTAAGTTTCGACGTCATATTCACCAACAATTTACCGTGTCCATTATATAACGATTACTTCGAAGGAATCTATAATATACAATAAAATATTTATTAGTAACATTTTTATTGGTTTCCAGCATCTGTCATTTATTTTCCCAAATTGTAAATTATATTAGATGGATAAATATATATTTATGATATTTATTGGTATATATATATATATATATATATTAGATTATATCTGATAAAAAATAAATATATGTGTGTTCATAAATTGATATCTGATTAAAAATTATTTCGTTAAGATATCCTTATAGTTAACTCGTCGAGCTTCCTATATATAAATCACGATCAAAAATCGATTCGATACACACGTACGATGCCGGAGATTCCGATCCACTTAAAACCGGATCTTGTCCCAACTCCCTACAGGTTTATTCGGATATGTCTGACAAGGATAGAAAGCGTGAATAATGCGATGGAAAACAATCCTTCGATACAAAAGGCGTGGAATTGAAACGATCGTTACAATACGATACAATGATTAAAGGAATCAATTATTTAAGAACTTGATGCGACTGAATTCGATTAAATTACATATTAAAATCAATGTTCTCTATTGATAGGAAAATGATGATCATGTAATTTTCAATGGATTTCAATTAAATTCATTTAAATATCACGCAATATATAATAAGAAAAAGCTTATATTGGAAAAAAAATCAATATCTTTTATACATTATAATAGTATTTATATATCTTTTGTCAAATGGAATACGCAGTTATAGATTATACATGATAGATGTATGGAAATCCAAATTGCACGATTGAACAATGGATAAAGTTTTATCTTTATCATTCAAAAATGAGAGAGTTAAGGATTGCTCTTCGATCATTTTTTTATTGTAAAACGCAAAGAAATCGAAAGATGATAAAGACGAATTGTGAGGCCGCGCACGATGTCATCCACTCCAAGATAAAAAGAATAAGAGACTAACGATACATGCGTTTTACTTAAGGTGTATATGAGATGGGTCGACCGTCCCGAACTCGAAAACCCACTTAACCATTCGGAGAATGAAGATTAGAGGGCAGGTTTGTAAGGAGCCTCCAAGCCGTGCTATCTACGGCTTTCAGGATGGGGAAGGAACTGAAGATCTTGGGGATCGACCCCTCGAAAGGCAGACTGATAAGAGGGCGGCTTTTAGTGTATCGCGACGGTAATACAAATTAACCCGAGGAAGTGCGGTCAAATAGCCGAAGAAAAGGAAACTGGATAGTTTTTAGATAATGAGGAACAGGCCTAAAT